TCAATTTGTTGCTGGCCAAAACCTTGCTCYATACGCCCCGTTTCTAGTCTACAAAGATTCGGCCCACGAAGATATTTCCACCCTTGTGCTCTAATTATCTGTTTGCCTAGTTAATAGGCTTAATTTCCAAGCTTTGCGACTCTACCAAGTTTGCCTTTCGCTGTAATTGATATTAATAGACAAAAGGTGGGTTTAATACATTGTCTGAGGAACAACAAATCGATCAATTTGCGGAACGCATTGGCATATTTATTCGGTCGTTTTGAAATTTTATTTCAGGCACTGAGCGGGTGTTTAGTAAATTAATAATTATTCTTTTAGAGTGGATGCTACGGCCCTAAGTGTGTATTAATGTTCTAATTTTTTTGTAGTTGATTTGCAGTTATTTATGTTGCAAGCTTTGACTTTTAGAGTTTCCGATTAAACATTCCGTTTGCAGGTTTCATTAGAGAGCTGAGTGTTAAATGCATTTGCTCTGTTATCGTCTGCAAACTCTGCTTGAGATGCAACTGTTAATTTATCGTTGGAGTTTTGCGCATAATTTGTAACGGAGTTCAAGTCTATCTTGCACTCTAAATGGGCAACAAGTGCGCCAAACTTTCCGTCTAGTTAAAATAGTCTATATTTAATAAAACGTGTGTCATACACGCGCAAATTATGCTGTGAATTAGAAACCTAATTTTCAGGTAAACATGCTCAGCACCACATAGGTGCTTGAAAATGTAATCAAATTTTCCTCAAAATTCATGGGCACGTTTTCCCGTCATATCGCAGCCACTTCTACTTTGAGTTAACTTCAAACAAGTCGGAAAACTTCAGTTTCAGCTTCCGCCGGCTGCTGCATTTCCTTAGACAATGCAGTAAACACGTTACTACAAACTCTCCGATGATTTGAAGTTTTAATGAGAGCGGCATAATGGATAATGTGGGAATTCGGTTATCTACGTTGGCAGAGTTGGCCACATTTTCAATTAGTTTTACTCGAAAAAATCGTTCGCGTAGTGAATGTTTGGCTTAAGTAATTAATGATTATTCCAGCCATTAGAATACAACTTGTTTTGTGTATAATTTATGCAGTGCAGCAAAGTGGTTTTATGGGCAAATGGGGCGAGTTTTTGGTTAATTGCACTGAATAAGCAGGGTGACAAATGAGTCACTTTCTATTAAATTATGAAGATGAGGAATTTCTTCGTAAAACTTTGTGTTCGTTGTGGATTATTTCGAAAATTTTTCATTTTATTTGTATAGATGTTTCGAATTTCTGTGCATCCCTTACGGCTTAGTAGAACACCTCTGGGAAATTTGATTGAATAAATTAGCTTCACGAAGCAAGTGGTGAGAAATGCAATTAACTAGCTAAACATTGCATCGAATTTCATTTAAAATGCTGGAAGCTGTCGAAGGGTGTTAAACGAGCTTGTTTAATCGCACCAAGTGGATGGCCTAGACGGTTTCGCTTTAACTAAATGGATTAAAAGGATTTTTTTGCACTATTTTCCAATGAAAATGACTTTCGGAGGATCTAATTCTAAATTTTCCATGCAAAAGCACAACGAAAATGCATCTCAAGGGAATATGGACTGCTGCTGCTGCTGCTGCAGCCGAAGACTTGGAGAAAATCGATTCACTTTGCCCTGTGTTTCTCTGTAGGGAAATGATCAAATATTTATTTATCAAATAAAGACTGCGGCGATTTCCAGACGGACGGTAATTTCCGCATAGACGTTGCATCCTCCGAGGAGACGGCTTTTGGGCGTTTTCAAAAACAATTAATTTTCCTGCTGCTTTGCAAAATTACTCGGCGCATTTAACTTGAAGAATCCTTCGACTAAATGCCCTATGAAATGGACGGGAGATTTGCGCACGTTTTCTTGTTTACTGACGTTCGAGATCACAATTAATAACGCTTGAAATGTAAATTAACTTCGTGTCGGCCTTCAGGAAGGCTCGCATAAATTGTTATAAATTTTCAAACTAATTCAACAGGACTAGTTAATGTGCGTCATTAATTAGCGCCAAATGTTATGCAAGAGTTTTCAGCATGATAAAAAGCACTAGTTTAGCGAGTTTTGTAATAACTATATGTTTCTGGTTTAGTCAGTTAGAGCCCATTTAAGTTTTTTCGAACTACAGTAGCAAACCATTGTAAAGAAGTTCTAAAACTGCTCAAAAATATTTGACAAATCTCCACATTTCATCAAGCAGTTTCGTTAACATATAGTTTCGAGTTATAGAATGTCTTCGAGGCTTTTTGGCTTAAACAGAGTTAATCCCCTCGAGAACAAAACTTTTATTTCTCGGCGGATCCTTTTGGGGATGTCAACATAAACCTCACCATGTCGACTTTCAGGATTATCTTCGAGGGTGCTTTTAATCAAAAGTAAAGCAATATCTATCGGGGCCCCAGAAGCGAATTTCCACATTTCTATTTGACCGACCGCGAAAACCAGCTCGGCATAGAATAAGTAGATGTTCCATTTGGAAAAGCTGCTAAAATCGATAAGTTCGCCACTCTCAAATGGATTAAATGGGAACGGATAAGATGTTAATAGATATTAAATAAGGAAGTTGCATTTTTAAATACAGTTTTAAATTTTTAAGGAGTTTTAATTTTCCATTCACTATTGATGGCTTCTGGTAAAAAAACGGTTTTTCTCTGATTTATGAGTGATGTCTTCGTGACGAAGGACCAAACTCTTTTCTCATCAACCTTTTCTTCTCGTAGATTTCATGGTTTTTTCTAACAGAAACATCAAGCATTTGATATATTTTTAGAGCATCATTATTCTTATACTCATTATACATTTATCCAGCTCTGTTAATCAAGAAACAATAAAAGAACTGAAATCAAGCCGTTTGTAGCGTAATAAAACAGGTCACGTAAATGGGAAAGCCGTGTCGGCAATTACGGAATACTTATATCGATGTTGAGAAGGAAAAACGTCCCAAGAGTCGTAAACTTCGCTAAACCATTTACCAAAGTGTTGGAAATTTTAATTGTTTGCGCCTAAAGAGTTTCGGATTAAGTTGTCCCGTAAAAATGTTTAAATTATCGGGTTTCAATTAGGGAGTGAGAAAACACGCTCAAAGTACAGGGTTGCTAATGAAGTTCTTCTGTTATCGAACTTTTCCTCTTGGTATGTGTTATAGGTGTTAACTAATATTTGTAAAGTGATTTTCGTATTTAATTGCGCCTTTATTGGTTTATTTACACGAAAATCCCACAAGCAGGTATGGTGCCCTTAACCCGTTTTCCCCGACCCGTATAACGAATAGATCGTTTCGCCTTGCATGTTAATTATAACCTTTGTCTTTACTCAAACGCCAGTAAATTAAATTCCATCACCCATTATTTCCCTGAATAAATTGAGAGATATACACCAATTTAAAGGAGCCCCTCAAGTCTGGCTCACTCAAAGGGGTACTTAAGGGACACCGCCCTTGTCCTGGGAATAGTTGCTCAGTTACCACTTGGTTGAGAATATTTCCTTTTTATTAGTTTGTTGAATTCCCCGCTGAAGTTAACAGTTAAAAACATGTTTTAAACAAGAATGTTTAACAATCTTTTGTGAAGATCAGTACTATTAATTGCGCGATATTGTTTGGAAATTGTCTACCTAATCTTCCGCTCAACTAGCCAGCAGTTTTAAGTGCATTTTAGTGGAAAATAACGTTTCTACTTGCGATGTTTTGCCCGAGTAATTTAAAATTTGTGCCGGAAAGCAAGTTTTTCCGTAAAACAATAGCGAGGAAAATAGTTTAGAGTAGATGCCGGAAGCAAGACTGTTACGGGAAATTCCGGACAAAAACAAGAGAAATAATTATAGCGACGACTTTATTGTCAGCGCTGTTCTCGTTAGATCTGGTTTATGCAAGTTATTGTGTATGGCTCAGGCTGCGCATTATATTCCATATGTTTGTTTTTGTACATTTATGACGGGGAACCGGCGAAGAACTTGGCAAAGAGATGGAGGGTGCTGGTAAAGAACCAGAAGAAAAAACTCAGAGAGTGAAAAACAGGAGAAAAAAATCTATAGAGGGACGATCGTGGATTGGAAAAGGAAATTGGAACAGAAGACCAGCAAGGAGAAAAAGGTTGAGTGGGGGAAAACAAGGAGGACAACGAAGAAATAAAGATGGTTTCTGAAATAGCGAAATAAAATGGGGAATGAGACTGAAGTTATAAAAACACATGAACAACAAGAAACCGATCGAAAAGAAAGCCGAAGATGCATCTAAAGGAAACAATGGTGCTTAAACGAGAAATAACAGAACAATATATAATAACGAATATACAGAAACAAGGATAAATTGTTAATTCTATCAAATTCTAGTTTTCAGCGTGACACCTTCTAGCAAACTATGGAAAAATGTGAAAAGCTGACAAATTATACGAACAAATCTGTCTTATTCAGGTTGCAGATTAAACTAGGCTTTTTTAACATTTTTGCGCGATATTTTGCTCCTCTCAGCTGCAAAGTATGCGGGAACAAGCAGCGTATTCAAATTGTATTTGCCCAGAGGATGAGCTCGTGTATAACTTCATTATTACAAGGAATACATTTTGCGCGGAACAGCAGCCTAACTTTTCCTTTCGTCTGACAGATAATTAACTCAACGTGTGTACGAGATATTTCAGTTTTTTCGTTATTTGGCTCTTTCACATGGAAAATTTGAGTGCGGAAATCTGTTGAGTGAAATGTAAAGTATTAGCAAACGTGAACATATGCGAAATTATGGCTCTGTGATGATGACTTTTTCGCTTTTAATTGGGCTATTAATTTAATTTCCCCGTGCACTTGCCCATTCAGGCGCGAAAGTTCCACTGTTGCCAGCAACTTGACAAGTCGTTTTTTATGTATTTTACAAACATGTGTTCTTATCGAATGAACAAGCACCGAGCAGTTGTGGAATTAAGACACCATCTTTCACTTGATTAGTTTTTTATTACTCTATTTTTAGACGGCTTATAATAATTTCAAAAAAATCTGTTGTTTCAGGTTGAAACATGTTTTTAGAGCAACCCATGCGTTCTATGTACGAGTCGTTCGTTGCTAGGGGCGGGCCTAAAGCCAGTGACGTGCTCCAGGCGAGTCCACTCGCACGATGAGCGGCCTACAGGTCTGGACTCGCCCATGGACCAGCACGTCAAAGTGTATTTTAGTGTGGGGCAGCGCACCGAATCGGCGCTTTTCCGGCCCAACACGCCTGTGGACCAGGTGAAGGGTAAGTTTTACATTTTTGCTGCTAAAAGCTGCTTTTAATGGCTGTCGGAAAGCGGTATTTCCAAGGCAAAAGTTGAGTCTCAAACGGCTTAAATTGCGAACATTCGCTCTGGTTTGGCTGACATTAAATTCCATAAATCCCGACAAAACGTTGCGTCGAAGAACAGCAAGTAATTAACCGGAGAGCCGATTACTGTCTGATTCAATGTCGTGAGCTGCTTGTTGATGAATTAGTTTGTTTTTAGAGAGAAATTTGTCAAAATTTGAATGGAATTAAGTGCTAGCGAATGGAGTGCTTGATGCAAAGGCAGAAATCCAGGAATTTATGTTGTTTTGTCGGCGCCTACTTAGTGTTTTTGTTCAGAATGGTGTTTTATGACACGCCCACTGTTGCTAATGGCAAGCAGTGGCGCATCATCATCCAATTGGGTCAGGTTTTGATGCAAAAATAATGTTTTTTTTCACAAAAATTCGCTCAACAAACTAGGCTTCAAAGTCTCTTAAATAAATGCAATTCTGTTCCAATATAATTTTTTGCGTTCTTGACAAGTAATGTGAAAAGTGTTATTTTAGTTGCAGAAAATAAACAAGTGTGTAAGTTTATGCAAAATGGAATTTTCAAAAGAAGTAAAGAGGGGAAATAATTGAAGTAGAAGAATGAAAAAGTAGCTCTTTCCTCTACTGAAACTCTTTTACTTTGCTTATTTGGTATAAAAGAAACTACTTTTTTTATTTAATATGTGATCATTTCGCCTATTTGGAAAGGTGGCGTGATCAATCAAATCGCTGGATTTGATGAATGGATCACTGATTTGGGCCACTAGATAACCAGCGATTTAATGGAGTACTTGGAAAAATTAAGGGCTTCCATTACAGTGATAATGTTGCCGATTGTGGTGTTTTTATTATCTTTTACCGAAATATTCGAGAAAAGAAACAAAAACGTCGCAACGAGAGTGTGATTTATTGAAACCGGAGTGCGTTTCGGGCATTTGGGCCGTTGTGCAAAACATTTTTTGCAGACGTTTCGCAAGCATAAATGGCTTGCATCTTCAGAGTTCTCTTGTAGGTCAAGATCTGAAAAGATTCGTAATATTTTCCTGAATCAAAGCCAGACATCGAAATTGAACATCAGAATTCGTTGGCTTCGGCATAAGATCACTTAATTTTTTCTGTGTTTAGCCTTTAGCCAATTTCTCTCCCTGTACATTAAAATAATAATCATAATAGGAAGGCATTTGTGAGTAATGACGCTCGAGGGCATCAGCTCATTATTTATGCGCTCGTACAAAAGTCTCGAGTCTTTTGAACTGGGACGTTGAGCCATTTTTCAATCCTGCCATCGCTCGCGGCCTGGAAAGGCAAACGCTTTTAAGCGAATTATTATTATTTATTTTCCTTTCTTGGGATTCATCGGGAATTCTTGGGCTTTGAAAAGAACCACCTGACATTCGAGCGAATTTTTTCGCAGTCCATTAATCGGCAAAGTTGGCCAAAGTCGATTAGTGTAAGTTTTAAGAAAATGTGCTCTACTGCTCAACTGAGAATGGAGACGTTTCTCCAGCGGGAGTGGCCGGCATCTTTAAAAGCAGTTTTGATTGGGGTAACGCTCTAATTTGTCTCAAAACACTTTGATGTTGAACCTTTTATGAGCATAGACAACAAAGGATCGCAAATTCGGATTGTATGACAATCGGCTTTTGATGTAAATAACAAGGCCAATGCCAGTTGTCCATGTCAGTCAGCTCTCCCCTAAAGCAAAGCTCGTTGTGTAAAATCCCCAAAAACTTTGATATTCAGCTTTTACCCTCGTTTGAACCGGTTGTTGTCTGCCTAAAACAAACTCGGACATATTTTTTACCGCAAAGTTAATGCGGTTGGTTCTCCATTCTGAAAGTCATGTATGACTGGAAAATTTTAAATTAAATTCGCCTTTTTAGGCCTCTTTTATGGTTTCATCATTATCAAGTTCTAACTTATTTAAAAACACATTTCGTTGTAAGCTTCACTGCTTTGCTTTTAGCGCTGGAACTTTATTTCCTGCATTGTACTCAATGGAGATTTTGCGGTTTAAAAAACACTTGCTTGCTTCCCCAATGGCAAACCCGCACTTTGCTGATGTTTTAGAAAATAAACTGGAAAGAAGCAACGGTAATAATGTATGCGAGAATATCTCCTGGCTGATGCAGAAAAACGACGACAAAGATATTCTTAAATTAAATTACTCTGGCGAAAGCCATAAGGTTTGGCAAATAACAGGAAATCGCACCAGAGTGAGTATGTTTTTCAAGCAACGGCCGCGAAAGCTTAATTTATTTGAGACAAAAAATCAGTTCTTACGGATCTAGCGTGTCTACATTAGATTATTCACATTTCTCAAATATCTTATTGGACGAACCTTTCTTATTTTAAAACTCAATAATGCTTTTCCCTAAAGCTTCCTATCGAACTTGAGTTCTCACCATTTCCAATGTATTTGTTTCATTTAATTCGAGAACAATTGCGATTTTCAATCGAAAGTTCCCTCTGGATACACTTTTGCCCGCTCCAATACATTATTTATCCAGATTATTTTTGTCATTGGTTCTACATGCAATTTTAATGCGATATAAAGTATCCGAACACAGCATGTGGTGCAACGGTTTTGTATCGAAACCCCTCTGTGGAAACAATCTGGAACGTACGGTTCCAGAACTACATCGGTTTATATTAAAAAGCTTTTAGTGAAACACTGCTTCCAATATGCACAGTATAAAAATAGATCGAGAAGTTAACCTTATTGGGGTCAATATTGTGGGTTTTAGTAATGTTTTTCTGTTTCCGAAACCTTTTTGTTGCCAGTAGCGGGAGGGTATTTTTCATGTTGCTCATATAGTATTTGTCAACAGCTTAAACTGGGATTTCTTTATGGCGATGAAAAAACCTTCAAAGCGATTTCGCCATTTGCTCCGGCCTTATCTGGCACTGCCTTTTTCGTATAAATTACAGTCCCAGTTTGTGCAAATAATCTGGAAACTCTCAGAAACCGTATTTTCTTGCTAATTTTTCAAGCAGATACTTGGTAGATCTGGATTGATTTGATGAGATTGACTCCTCACCTACACTGTGAAATGGTTGCAATCAATTTGTAAAAATTGTTTATTTCAATAACAATTCGAATACATTTTTGGAGTTTCAATGTAGTTGCACAAGCCACAACTTTGTTGAAAATGAAGCCACAATTCCGATACCTCCAGTTGATTTGTGCCATTATTTGTTGACAATAAACCGCTTCAAATACCGAAAGCGAACATTTGCGGTGCATTAAAGCATTGGGGCATGCTTTGAACTGCATTTGGAGTGCCTGTTTTCCAATAGCAGCTAGTTGCGCCCCAGGGCTCGGCTATGCACCTAGACAGGAGGGGAAATGGGGCCGAATCGAAATTGTTGTTCCATTAATCAGTATAGATAGAAAGCGTTTTACGAATGTGAACTTAGAGAGTATTTTTCATCAGTTTGGTCGGATGAAGCAAGATAAAAATGAGGAAATGTGGCTTTTTTTAGTGGAGGGTGAACAGTTCGGTCATTTTCGCTTAGTTCTAGTTAACAGTAAAATGTGGGTCATATGCACTGAGATTATGCAGGCATTTTTCAGTTCATTTTTTATTTAAAAGTGAACTGGTTTTTCTTGCGAACCGATAATATTTGGCGGGGAAAACTTGTGCTTGTGCATCTATGACTATTTTCCTATCTATTTATGTAGCGTACAAGTAAATAATATAAACGTGAACCTAAAAAAATGTTGGCTGTTTGGACAAATTAACATTAAAAACGTAACAGTTGTTTGTTAGTTGAACCAGTTTTGTAAAATGCAAATGCTCCAAAACATTGCTTTTGAAAACAGAATATTTTGGTAGGTATTTATTTGAATTTTGTAACGGCAAAATATTTGTTAAATCGCCAACTTTTCATTATTATTTCCCTCATTTCCCGCGCAAGTGCAGTATTTGTATAATTAGTCCTTGCATTTTCTAAAATATGCTGCCACCTATTTATTCGTTAGTTTTATAATAAAATGAGAGTCACATACATTCACGTTATGAATTTTAAATTTCTATATCAACGCTTGTCAATATTTATATTTATATTATTATTGACTTGTCAATATTTGGACATTTTTATTTAATTGATTCATAATTTAAGGAAGAAATAAATAGCAAACAGCGAGTTATATACAGGCAAATTTTGTATCGAGGAATTAAGTCGATCGATCATAAGAGCGACAGTGTTTCCTTTTTCATATAATTTTACTGACGCGTGTAATAGCTGCTCAATTGGTTGAATAAGAAAAATATAAACATGAAACTATTGATTTTTCTGCGTTTTTAAATTAATTAAAGCAATAAATATGCGTGCAACTGAAATAGTCGTAATCAATAATGAAATGTGAGTCATGTTCACTCAAATTATGCACGCACTTTTTGATAGCCACAAAATCCTAATGGAAAATGTATTTTTTACTCAAACAACTACTCATATGGTTTTTTTAACTTGGAAAAACATCCGTTATTTGGAATACAATATGATACGTTTATTTTGCATGTTCGAGAAAAACTATTGACTGAATTGTGGGCGCAAAGTTTTCAATACTAGATTATTTTAAAACTGCGGTTCTTGATACATAGTGTCTCAAACTGAAGTGGCAGACAGTTTGCATTTTTTTAAATAATAATAACGCTACGCTGAGAACCCCAATCTATTTGGCCGCTTTATATGCAAAATTTTCGAACTGGACTTTTGGTTTCTGTTATTCAGTTTGGCATTATCCGTGGCAAAATTTACAAAACGTTTAAAGCACGTTTATTAGCAGACTTTTTGAAGGCGTTTGCTTGTATCCAACTACAAGGTTTATAGTTTTCTGCAGAAATTCGCACATAAAGCAGTCATATCCATTCAAATTATGCCAAATAGATGCACTTGGGAAGCCTCCTCTCTTCAGGAAACATTTTCCTGAATTTACTTAAGAAATCGAACGTTATCGCATGAAAGTTACGAGCAGACCGCAAACCGTCAGCGCCAGAACCAGTTTAAAGCGATTTCCTCCCGATAAATGACTGCTCTTTTGTAGGCGTTTTATCTCGATCCCGGTTTTTGCATGATTTTGTTTGCTTTGTCTGTTTCCCCGATTGATTTTCACACTATTCTCGCGCTAAGCGTTGTGAATGTTATTGGATTTGACCGAGCAATTGTCTGGGATTACTTTTTTAATATCTAATTACTCGGAGTAATTTTGTGCCTTTTGTTCCAGATATATTTCGGGCAGCAGCTGAAGCCGGTCCAAGTGATATTCTGAAATTGTACAACGCTGCTGGTCAGCTACTCAATATCAGTGCAGACTTGCTTCCCAACACTGAGGACACGCTTTACTCTTTACAGGTACTGCAAGTTTTTGATATTTGCTAAATTTAACACGAACATGAAGTTCACTAAGTCATCTTGAAATAACAAGATTAGAGTGGAAAACGGACATCTAGTGCCATCCACTATTATGTTTCAATGTGGCGTCTTCTTGAATGGAGACTTTCAAAGGCAACGAAGCCGAAACGACACGTTCGTGATTTATTTGAGGGCATTCGTCACCCATATCCCGAATGGAGATTTATAGTTTGCTTAAGTTAAAGCGCACTTTTAAACATCCGCGACTAAGACTCGAAAAAAATGCCTTCGCAGTATTTTTAATTAATCACGGGGAAACGTTGGTGCGTAACCTTTTGGCATCCCAGCGCCCCAGCTAAATTAAAGGCCTTAATAATTAGCCTTAAAAGGCCATTAAGTATCCGGAAAAGTAACCGTGTAAGGTACGTTAATTAGCGGCAGAGTAAATAGTCTGCCGGCGGGATGCTAATGCTAATTAAGTGAATTATTTAATTGTTCAGTTAATTAATTGGGCGAGTCATAATGCTGATGTTGAATGTGGAAGGTATTTGAATTTTTTATGATAGAATCGGTGGAATTTGCAAAGGAAAATTTGTGCTGGCACGGTGATTTAAATAAAACGTTTTTTTTTTGTTGCGTTTCTAGGTTGTGGCCGCGAACGGTTTAGCCATGCTGCAGGAGTCAACCTGCGCAGAACTCAAGTCGCTGGAGGCGCGCGTTTCAGCTGTAGAACGGCAAATGCGCGCAGAATTGCCTCTTCCCGCGGCAGTCGAAGATCTGCGCAGAGAAGTGGAGGCGTTTCGCGAAAGACTGGAAACTGATGAGGGTCTAAGCTGGCTTGGTGAGTAGGTACTTGTTAACTCAGATTTCTTGCTTTCGAATATTTAATGTGATTAACACAAAGTGTTGCACGTTCAGTTTAGAAAGTGAAGCAACAAAGTTTCAAAACTTCTAGAGCAAATTTAGGGAAACTGTCTAACTATTCCAGCTGAAATAACCCAATTTGCCTGGTCTGAGAGGTCTATGACGGATTGTTGATCAGGCTCAGCTTAAAGTTAAATTGATAAACTGTCTAAGTCTGAGCTCAAAGCTCTAACTTCCACTTGCCTCTCTAACTCCAAAATATCCACATGGATTCGAGGTGAGAGCTTGGATTTGTGGGGCTTTGATAGCTTCAAGTAATTTTAAGTATATAATTTTATTGGCAAATTTCCATAAAATATTTGAAGAAAAGCTCGTCGAACAAAAGCTGCAGTTTATTTTCAGTGATGATATGAGTACAAGTGTACAGCGTGGTCCAATTTTCAGAGAACATTTTCGCATTTTTTACTGATAGCTTTCATTTCAAGTCGAACCACTTTAAAATAGTTTAAATCTGTTAAATTAGCCAAAATAAAAAAACCGTCGAAGTAGACAAGGCGGAGGAAGCTAAAAGAATGATCGGTTCAAGATTTAGAAGAGAAAATGCGGCATATTAAGACAGAAGTATTAATCGACAAAATTTCTGGTTGATTCAACTATTCTCTAACCACTCTTTACTAGTAAAGCGTCAGAGCTCCATCGAGCCTAAAATGGGAATTTTCTTAATCAAGCAGCAACGCCCCATTTTCATTCATTTAAAAATTTTGTTTCGAAAAATTCATTTAAAAATCAATATTTTTATTAAAATGTTAACGAACCATATTTTCAAGTTTCTTTATACATTATTTTATTTTCTTTTTGAATGTTATTTCACTTTTTTTTAAATCTTACACAGGAAGCAAAATTTATAATTAGCTGAAGATGAAGGATCGTGAATGTAAAATTATTTGTCGTTAAATCCTGTATGGCGTTCTGTCGAAATTTTCCAAAATTGTTCATCAATCAATCGAAACCTTCTGAATTTAGAAGGTTTTTTCAAGTAAAAAGAGAGTTTTCAAGTAAAATTTCCCCTGCTGAATGATCCTCTATTATTCAAAGAAAATTTCATTTTATTTGATTAAATGTCTAATCAATTGAAAACAGAGAAAAATCGTTTTTAATCAATAATTAAAATTCAGGAATTAGTACTAAAAGGCAAAAACGCGAAGGATTGAGAAAATGTTGAAATTGTATTTTGAATTAATTTTCATATGGATTTATCGTACAGTTTTCATCGATTATTAAATTTTTTTTACAGATATTGAATAGAATTTTCTTGTTACCTTTGTATGGTTATCGAAAACTTATTGTTTGAAACAAACCGCTTTTTTTTTAACAGTGAAAAAACTGCTTTTTGCAGTTTTACACTTTTTACAAAATATTGCCGCTTGAGCTATGTTGAAAATTAGGCAGAAAATATGGGATGCTTCCATAAAAATCTTCCAAACTTAAAATAGTTTGGTTCTTAAAATTTCCAGACAAGAAGTGCCTCAAATTTGAAGAAGACGAAAAAAACTGCACTGCGTCAATATTTTAAGCAGAATGTGATTAACTGGATTTTTTCAATCAAGCCATAGTTGGAAATTTGCAGAAAAATTAAAAACAAAGTGTTTAAAGATTGCTTAATCGCATTTTTGTTGATAAACGCTTCCCAAAAAGAAGCTTTAAGCCAAAGCAAACGTTGACTTGTATATTATTTTTTGTTTTTCTACTTGTTCCAATTTCTTTGTTTTAAGTAGATAAAGTTTGGATATAAGAGAGCTAAAATATCTACTAGCTACTTGACAGTAGAAACAACGCCGCGCTTGCACTTTTTATTTATTAGTCACGACACAAAACCACTTTTAAGGAAAAATACAATACATTACTCTCTAAAAAAAACCGCTTAAAGATGCTAAATTTTAAACCGCACCAGACGAAAATTGGACATTTCTTGAAACATTGCCAGAAGGCTAAGCTTGAGTTAAGCGTACCGAAAAAGAATAGATTTTCTTTGTTGTCTTAGTTGTTCTTATCTATTTTTTTGAAATTTATACTTAAATTGGATTTTTATTGTTGAACAGTTTCATTCTTTCTTTGAGAACTACTCAATTCGACATCTGGAAGAAAATTAATGCATGTTTAACGCTTTTTTTCCGTTTGTGAAAGCAATGAGCCATAGTTGCACAAAAAAGAGTCCTTTGTGTTCTTCCAAAATTCGGCAAGTTTGAAGAAATTTTGCAAGGCAGCTTTAAAAAAGCCCAACAAAAGGAACTAAATGTTGCAAGACAATGGACTTAGACTCAATTGCAATTCACTTTGTTCCTTGCTTTTATTGTTAAAACAAAAAATAAAAAGTGAGAGTGAAACTATGAAATTAACTTTGTGTTCACTCAAAAAGCAAATAATATTTTTTTGCATTTTTTGCATCGACCAAACTGATGAATTTGCAAGGGAAACCCGTCGCAGAATGTAATTAATTCGTCGTGATGGAAGCTCATTCATATGTCGCACTCTGTATTTCCAAATTGACAAATCAATTATTCCAATCGTTTACATAATAGACTCGGCATACATTATATTATATATACAGTGGATCAGTGACGCAAACTGAAGCCGATGTTTGGCGTCGAAGTTCTCCATTAAATGGTAATCGAAATACATGGGAATTGTTTGGAAACAACGATTTGTACTAGATGGACTGGGGAAATATTGATTCCGAATTAGGCGCGGTTCGATAAGCAATCAACGAACAATTGAATAAGTCGGGAAAAATTCATCCAAGGCGCCATTCATGTTTTCGAATGACTGTCGTCACGCTATGTAAATTCTTACGAAGGTGCATACATTTTTCCGCTATGCACGAAGTAATTTATTCTTAGTGCGGCTCTAAATATTTGCAAAAGCGCTTTTATGGCTCAATCGCTGAAATCCTTTCGCATTTTTCCTGTTATAAAATCGAAACCTGGACGCAGTTCGGATTTATCTTTTTCCGTAATACAGATTGAATTTCAGCGAATTTTACACGTGTGAGTGCTAAATCCGTTTGATACGACGCCTAAATGAATCCAGTAACTTTCTGTACATGTTCAACTGGTGGATTTATGTCGCGATATTTCGAAGCAGTGAACGTGAGTGAGGTTGAGAGAATCTCAATTTTTTTAAGGCTATTGTTACGCTCCTTTCATCAGGAACTATATTTTCTGCCCAATTTTATTCCACTGTCTGCTTCAAAAGTTACACTCGTAACAGGATCAGGTTCAACTTTAATCAAATTGTTTTAAATTCCCGGCATGCAAGAACGAAATACAGCCAATCCAGGCCATTAATTCAATTTTCCTGCACTTTGCCAACGTCCCAAACAAAACTGGCTCCGGCGTCTAATTAGTCGCTTCGCATAGAAAATTGGATGAATAGTTGCACATCCACCTACCTACTGATATGGACTTGATTGGACGTTATGGCTTCATTATCGTTGCCATCAAAGGCCTTTTGGCCTCTCTTCTAGTGAGCAGTTTGATTTGGGAATTGTTTTTGCGATTTGTTTGCGGACAAGTCAGCTTTAAAGGAACCTAAAGGGTCTGATTATCTTAATTGATTTCATTACCTTTATATGTTGGCCTCCAAATTGGCCAAATTGGCGGATTTCAGTCTGCAGAGAACAAAGCAATGGAGAATTGGAAAATTTTCCGTCCGCCCGTTTGTTTGAATGTTCCCGACGTTATTAAGCTGGCGCTTTTATTAAAATATTTTGGCTAATCAGAGAAAGAATTTGGGCAAAAACCAAAAATGCCTCAAGGCAGTATCGACGCAAAAGGTTTGGGGCTTAAAGCGAGTAACAGCACTCAGCACTGGAGCCCAACAGGATTATAATTAAAACGGGTCCTGCACAAGTTATGTTTCAAGAATTCGCATGTAATTTTTTCCGCTCTTTTTTACGGCTTGTTAATTTTGATTTGCAGGATTCTACAAGCAACTTCCAGAGCCACTTTCCAGCGAGGAATGTCGTCGACTTCAGTACCGCAGGAAGAGTGATTCGGTGAAAAATCGGGTTAAGAAGAATTTTGCAAATATTTGGTGAGTATCTGCATCAAAAGCATTAAAACCTGCATTCGACAGCATTTTAAAATGAATAGATTCGGACAAATTGTGCACAAGACACAAAATCATGAAAACATTTTTTTCATTAAATGGTTAATCACCATGTCGATTTTAGCAGATTTAGGTAATTATAATTTAATCCTTTTTTTTGCATTAATTCAACATAAATTTGAATTAATTCCGAATCTGCAATTATGCCAGTGGCAACGTTTATGATAAATTCGTTAATAATTTGGGAAAACACTTTATCAAACCGGTTTATAATTATCAATTTGCAGGCATAATTGCATTTTAGTAGCAATTGCTAATGATGCATTATTTATAATTGACGGGCGATGTTCGGTGTTAAGAGACACTGATATTATCAAATTTGATACATTTGACGACAACAATTTCAGCTAGAAAAATAATTTACACTGTTTTTTCATGAAAATTATTTTTTTGCAGTGATGCCCAGGTCTCAGATGCGATCAGACAGTGGCTCAGAATGCCCACCTTTGATGCACGCCCCTGGGAGGACGAGGAACTTCTCCTCCTTCTTCAGCAGATGTATTTGGATCACGATTTCTGCGCGAAATTTGCCATTGACATCAGCACCCTTAGGAAATTTTTATACGAGGCGTACAAGAACTACAACGATGTGCCGTTTCATAATTTTCGTCATTGTTTTTGTGTCGCCCAAATGGTAAGCTTTTCTCAGTTTAATGTTTGATTATGGTATTGTGTATTTTCCACGTGTCTTTTATCAGTGCTCCTGTAGGTGTTATTCAACTTCTTCTAAGCACTTTAGTTGTTAGTTTTTTCGTCGGGTTGCGTCGATTTTTCATCTGCTCCCATGTGTCTGTTTTCTTATTTTTGTGTGTTGTCTAAGACTATTTTTTATTGGTGCCACTTTTTTTTCTGGAGCCGATATTTTCGCTCAATTTTTTCTGCAAAGCTCTTCAGCTTCTATTTTTTTTCATAAGTCGAAAAAATCCGACAGAGCTTTCTATTCGCTCTTTTGCCTTAATCACTATTATTTCTTTCCTGAGTTATTTTATTTTAAAGCACTCAGTCCATCTTGCTTTCAACCTGTTTATACAGGATGTTATGAAGAAATAGATCCATTCATTAAAGAAACTTCTTTCCGATTAAATTAGTGCGTTACTTACCTGTATTTTGCCGCAACCCAAGTTTGAATAATCGGGGTATTTCAATTTTTCAGGATATTTATTTTTGAGGATTTTTCCTTGAAGCATCCCTTTTTCATAGAACTTTGCGAGAAATCTAGTCATTCAAAATGCTTTTTGAAGAAGCCCTTTAGATATTCTTTAAAATTTTGTTTTAATAATCGTATTAAATAAACAACTTTGAATTTTCGAAAGTCCAACACGGTTGAAAAGAACAACGTATTTAGGTACATACGTTTCTCATTTTCATTGGTGTCGATCCCACTCGGGCGTTTTTCCTGCATGTTGGGTAACAATTTAGTTTGGCAGTAAAGTTTTGAATGAATTGTTATGGTTGTTTCAGTTGTACGCGATTTCGTGGTGCGTGGATTTGCCCAGTAAAATCGGTGACTTGGAAGTGCTGATTCTGCTCACATCCTGTATATGCCACGATCTGGACCATCCCGGGTACAACAACATTTATCAAATTAATGCCAAAGTAAGTAATTTCCACAGCGTTGAAAATTGTCGTTCCTTCAGGAAAATTGAACTTTTAAAATGAAAATGGGAAATTGCTTCAAGTGGAAGAAAGCGACGGTTTGCGTGATCAAAGCACATACATTTCGCTACAGTTATAATCATCAATCAGTTGAGGAAAGTGATCTTGAGCTGTATTTTTCGGGGCTTTTGAGAAAATTGAAAAATGTTCCACGTTAAAGGTGCTTTAACAGTACGCCGTTTCATATTTCTAGATGATTTTTAGGCAAAAAGTCTCACAATCGCGCGTACTCAGCTCTTCTATGGAACTTAAAAATCATCGAATTTTATAATTTTCTACAGTTTATTTAAGTTAATTTTCTATGCGAAAAGTGGCTAAAGGTGAAAACCGGTGAGGTTATTAAATTTTAAGTTTTTTCAGCTTGAGTTGATTCATTTTTCCCTAAAACGATCTTTTTCCCATCGACCAGTTATTTTTTTTTACTAAAAACTCGGTATGAGGAATTTTTTAGCGTGTTCCAAGCCCAACTAAACCCGAGCGAGAAATTATCGTTCCATAAATGGTTGCATCTCTGTGTTTCCAATCGATTTTGTAATTCGGAACAGCACACACGGTGATAAATCTGTCGTTTTATTTCCCACAGGAAATTAGTATTAATTTGCCGGGCTTGAATACTTTGACATGCAGATTATAAATTGCCATGCATTCATTTTGATGAATTTGTGGGATTTTTTTCAATGTCACTTGTATAACTCGAGATTTATATCATTTCAGTTACAATATGTGTATGAAAAACAAAATAGTATTTTAATGGTTTTCTTGCACTTGAAAATACCTTGGACCAAAAGTCGTCTCAAAACGCTAAAAGTAATATCATAATTTTATAAATATAAATAAAAAAGCTACATAACAATATTGAAAACGATTTGAACGACGAATCCCGTTTTTCAGTCTCTCTCAGTCTCATGTTTTCCTAAAAGGAAACTTGTCTTCGCTAAAATTCACCTTATCAAAAGAGTAAATTGCTGAGTACTTCGAGCTTTTCCACGACGGTCTAAAGGCCCGAAAAACTCACCAGTTCCGAAATTCATCATATTGAAACAACTCTTTCTGTTTAACTCAACATGGTGCATCAAACTCGGCAAACAGACAATATAAATTGATGAACATATGATTGAAATCACACTTTTTTGGCTTTCAGACGGAGCTGGCAATACGCTACAACGATATCTCTCCATTGGAGAATCACCATTGCAGCGTGGCTTTTCGACTCCTCGAGAACGACGATTGCAACATCTTCAAGTCCTTCGGCAGTGAAGACTTTAAGCAGGTGCGAGAAGGAATGATTAGGTGCATTTTGGCCACCGACATGGCGCGGCACAACGAGATTCTGACCAATTTTCGCGAAATGTTGCCCTGCTTTAACTACGACGATAAAGCTCACGTAAATCTGGTAAGCACAGAGTCAATTGCTTGGAAAGCTTGTTCAAAATACGCGTTCGTTTATATTTTTCAGCTGTGTATGGTACTGATAAAAGTGTCGGATATCTCCAACGAGGCCCGGCCAATGGATATAGCGGAACCGTGGCTGGATCGGCTGCTGCAGGAGTTTTTCAAGCAAAGCGATGCGGAGAAGCTGGAAGGCCTCCCTGTAACTCCGTTTATGGATCGCGAAAAAATTACCAAACCTTCATCGCAATGCTCGTTTATCGGGTTCGTGCTGTTGCCCCTGTTCGAGGCCCTTGGCGAATTACTCACCGAACTTCAAGTAGGACATTACTTATCTATAAGTTGAAAAAGATGTCTAAAAAATCCTCTGTTGTCCTTCATTTAGGATCTCATCGTTCAGCCGGTACGGGACGCTCTGGACTACTACAAGAGACTAAACGAAGTAACGAGAGAAGAAAGACTGCACCGCAAAAGTATCGTGGCCGAAATGGCCGATCATCAGCACAACTCGGCGAACCAAAGCCCGGATAGTGGAAACGCGGCCCTACCCAAGTCTGGCTCAAATGTTAGCTTTAAGGCGAAAATCCTTTCCAGCAGGTCCAGGTACGTAATTTTCCGTTTCAATACAAGACACGTGCTCCATTTGGGAAATTCAAAATCTGTCTTCGTCTATTTCAGATCTCGATCCACTGAGGAAGAAACTGAACTGAGCTTGGAAGGATCCGTCCAACAATACCTGGAAGATCAGAGTCTGGAAGACGTGCTGGAGGACCCGGAAAGTGGCGACTCGGAAACAGCGAATGAAGTGGAAGTGTCCGAAAAAGCCCTAAAGTTCAAAATATCTACCGAATGCACGGCGCCAACCACCGGCCGTAAAAGTTATCCCGGATCGAGGAAAGGGAGCAGAGAACGCGGACAACATTTGAACCAGAGCGATATAAGCAGGATGATGCAGCAAAAGGGCAAACTGAAAGCGACGGCATGTAGTTTCGATCACCACTTCCTATCGGATAACAAAAAACTATCCTTCGATAGTCCGTCTTTTTTAGATGAGTACGCGCTGACGTTGAAAAAGCGCTTTGAGGAGGGATTGACGGGCTATCGGGATACGGCTGGCGAAAACAACGACGATGAGTGCGTCCTTTCCCAAGAAACAATCAATTTAAACAAGCGGAACTCTGAACACTTGGTAAAAGTTTTCGACGAAAAGAAGAGCATTTTGAAATGCCCGGACCACAAAAACAACGTACACGTTGAGAACTTGAGGATCAACATTAACACCACGGCGGAGGACGAGCCCGTTAAAAGCAGCCCCAAATATAGCATGGTCAACAAAAAGTACAAATACTCGGAGCAAAGCGACAACGACATCAGCGTTATATCGCTGAAAGAGGAAATCAAAATCCAGTCACCACCTTCAGAGGCGAAGTCGAATAGATCGATTCTATCCAGATTTCGTCAGCTTACCGACAGGTTCGGGCTGTCGCAAGACTCGAAAGTGAAACACCCAAAAAACAACAACGTTTCCAAAACCACCCTGCACAAAGGTAAGACAAAAGTAGAGCCAACTCACTGTAAGAGTTTAGAGAAAGTAGACATTAGAAGGGCCAGCACGCTGCCTAAAACCAAAGGGCGCACGAGCAAAAGCTGGAAATCTTTTATTTTAGGCAAAGAGAAACACTGGTCATCCGACCAAGTCTTGGATTGCAACGTTTCAGAATTGGACAATCAATCCCTACCATCTACCTCACAGATGAACAGTAACTGTGCCACGCCCAATAAAACTTCAACAAGTCTGCAGAACTCGCCGCGAAAAAGCGTCGCTCGATCAGAGTCTTTCGTGATGGGAAATAATGTGACTAATCGGAGTGTGGACGCGCAGGAAATTCAAAACGACGGAGAAAATGACCCGAATATAATTTGACAAGAAGTCAACATTCCCGAAACGGAATGTTTTTCCAGATACATATTTTGTCGCTGTTGTACATATAGGTCTAATCCTAGCGAGTCTGTTTAGGAAATTATTCGATTTATTTATTTTCGTTTTTTTTAGCTATTTATTACGACCTGATAATTTTAAGTGTCTAGGAAATATTTATCGAAATCTATCTGTATCCGAATTGGTGAAGCCGACAAAACCACAAAAGCAAAAATACCATTTTTAGTTGCCCTAAAAGACCAACGGTAACGTTCATTTGCTACAACAGAAATGCATATCATACGAGTGTTTCCTATCCAAATTGTAAATTAAAATCGTTTTATGGCTCTTTAAATCATTCACATTTAAGACCTTTTTTTGGAAATAAAATATTGAATTTCCTCACTGATACTGTGCTATTGGGGATTGCTTACACACGAAGTGGGACCCGAAATGTTCGATATATTTCAAGCATTTTCCCCTTAAAAACACACATAGTTTTCATGCCTTACTTGACTCTCTTGTCTCAATGCGCCTAGACTTAATAAAGATGAACCACTAATTAAATATGAGGATACTATTTTTTTCAGAAGAGCTAATTGATCAACAAGACAAATATCAAAATAATGAATTTCAGTCAGTGTAGAAAAAAACGTCCAAAATCACCTTGACCAATGTATTGATTGCAATGCTTTCTTTGATAGATTCATTGTCCTCAAAAAACTTCAAAGCAGGTGTTACTCTTTCAATTAGTGAATTTTTATAATCATTCGATACTGGATAGGAAAGTTCCAAGTTTTCAACCCATCCCAATGAAAATCTGTTCATTTTCCCAACTTATACATATCAAAATGCCCGACTTTCTTTGCTACCTGATACGCTTCCTTTCTATACTTCTGAGGACCACTGTCTTAAAAGTCTGTACTTTATTATAATTCAGATATCCGTTTAATGTTTATTCAATGTATTTTCGATACAGGAAAAGCTTCGCGCTGAACAAACGCGTTTGCTTGTTTTTGGTAGGAGCAAATATTAGTTTGGGCCAGAAATTATCGATTTTTCCACAATTTATCAAAATTCTAGAAATTTTCCCGAAAATAATAGTTAGGATGCCGGTTGCTTTGTTCAGCCCGAACCAATTCCTTTAAATTAGAATAAACGAAGTGAATCTAGCGTAAATTCTAAAAAAATTATATTTTTATGCCTCATGTACAATCAATTTGTTGCACAATACATGCGATTTTTGTAGTCAATAGTTAATTTTAAGTAGGTAAGAGGAAAATCGTTTGTACAGATAACTAAATTGACGGTATATTTGGAAAATAAATGATTATAATTTAATGTAAAAACTAAATAAATGTGTATAAGTAAAGTTGGATATATTAATCAAAAGAGGTGCTTTAGAACATAATTTAATTACATGTATTTCGACGCAGATAATTAAATTCGGTACATAGCTCTGAATTAGTAGATTTTATATAAATATAAATAGTGTAAATTAAAATTCACTAAAATACCCCAATTACCAATTATAAAGTGCGACGCACTCTGCTATGAAATACTTCATTTCCAACTTTGATATTCTTTGGTTTGGAAATATTGCAGCTGATGAAAAACAGAAAACTACGGGAATTAGCAAAATAGAACCAACTGGAGGAAAAACGGGAAAATATCACTGCAGAAACAATTACAGTTTAAAAGTGACGTAAATAATAACTCACCATTAATTGAGACTATACAACCAAATGGACAAAAAAGTATAAAAACCTCTCACAATTAACAACAATAACTTAATCCTCATCTTCAGGCAGATCTTCGTCCGTCGTATACTCGGACTCTTGGTCTGCTTTATCCACCGGATTCTCCTCCTCAGAGTCCTCAAACTCCCACTGCGGGTGCTTCGTGATTTCCTCTGGGGCTTTCTTCACGTCCAGTTTAAAGTCTTTTTGTTGGTCGAAGCCGATATACGAATCTGACCTAAGGCACACTGTAAAGGAGTAAACTCCTGCCCAAGTGGGCGCGGTGAACTAAAAACCAACGTTTCTGTAGCAAATGTGCAAAGTACATTTAATTCTCTTACTTTTAGATGTACTGTCTCTTGTTCCACCAAGCCAGTTATGTGATAAGGGGCTGTTAGTAACGTTCGAGACTTGCGGTCGCAAATGTACGTCCACCAGTACTCTTGCTTGTCATGGGGAAAATATGGACAATGAACTGCATGAGAGGACTTTGATTTTCCTTCCAGCGATTTTTCCCTTTCGTGGATTTTGCGGAATTTTTCCCACTCCTAAATTACACACTTTCGTTTAGTGCTTAATCGAAACGACGATTTCAATTAGTATGCACAGAGCGCTTCCTATCAAGAACCGTTAGCAAAACCGGGCTTTGAACTAAGGTAAATGCACTCGGGTTTACTGGACGCTTTTAAAGATTCCCAATTGAATGACTTACTTGATCATCATCTTCAGGATTGGATTTCTGAGTAGTGCTCTCATCTCCTGAGGATTTGTCATTCAACTCATTAGTGTCGGCATCGCTCTCATCTGCAGAGTCTGCCTGGTCTTCATCTAAGCGTTGCTTCCGCTCGCTTTTGCTCTTCGACTTCCTCTCGACCGACACGCTGGGCGAATCCTCAACGTTGGTTTTTATCAGGGCCGCCGCTTTTGGAGCCGGCTTAGACGCTTTCTTTACCTTCTTACCTCCACCTGTGAGAATTATGGGCTGCAAACTTTGCCTAGAACATTGCCAACAGTCTTACCTTTCTTCTGCTTCAACCATGCAGGTCGTTTCACTTTGGTATCATTATCTCCATCGCCACCTCCGGCTTCTTTGCCCTCGTCCAGGCCATTCTCTGCAATGTCATCCTCCGCCACATCATCATTGAATAGACTAGACATGTTCTTCCGTTTTAAGTTGACTGTTACTGTTACAATGGCACCGGCGGTTACTTCCGTGGGGTTTTCATCGTCCATAACTAAACGAGCAAGGTGCAAATGTCGATTAGTAAGTGGTCGAAACTGGTGATCATTTCCGGGGCTCCGACCCAAACCCCCGGAAAATTCACCAGTTTCAGGAAATGGCCCCAAAACGATTCGCTCTTTTTATAGTGACTGGTAGCTTGCAACTCACCCTCTACAGTAATTTGAAAATCTATAGACGGCATTTTCCCTAGAACTTTGATGACATTCTCGTACTCTTCATCGCTGAGATTTCTGAGTAACGACCTCCTCTCATCGGTTTTCATTTGTGCGTACTGTTGCAGCGACTTGATTTGCCGTTTTTTCGACATAAAGTACTTTAAATTGTCGTCGTTTATGTGCGGCAGCTGCATCAGAGGAGACTTGAACTCCCATAGGCCCTGAACCACCATGGGACAGAGTTTCATGCAGTTTTCTATTGTCTCTATTGAGGGCAGACTTTTGACTGGAAATTTTAAAGTTCATTCAATGATTGGATTGCAGTGAAAGTTCCCAACACGTACTTCTTCCGGCGTAAGCCAGCAGTATCAGTTGATTGACGCAATTGACCTGCTCTTGGATTAAATATGGGCATTTGCCCACGATATACTGGCGATCTTTTTCTAGAGTAGCGGGATTTAAGGCGATTCTACTCAAATGAGCGTGGAGTATGGCGCGAGCTTTCAGACTGTAAGGGTAGCAAAGCGGCTTCTCTTTGTTCTTCTCCTTCAAGTTGGGCAGCTTCTTGAATAGCTAGAAATTAACCAAAAGAACGTTAATCCAAAAGGGAAAATTTTAGTGCAATGTGCACTTACGTGAGGAACTTCTTCGTCATCAGACGGTCTTTCTACAATTTCCGAGTTGTGTTTCCTATCAAACTCCAGACTTGCAGCTAAAATCATGATGACCCTTTTGAGAGCCATGTTGGGGGTTTTGTGGAAATAGTAATAATACATTTGCGTAGTGTCCAACAGAACCTGATCTCCAGTGAATTTGATACTCCGGTTCCACCAAGTACCAACCTATTACCAAGTACATGAAATGCATTAGACTTTGGAGCAAATTTGCATTATCAGGCTTGGACTTACCACTATTGGCAGTGCCACCATAAAGACTAAGGCATAAAGCCCTAAAACCCACACGCTATTTTCTTTTTCAACTATCCAAGAAGGCAGGGCTATGCCAAAACTCATAGCTCCGGGTCCATCAGGATTCCCGTACTTCTCCCAGTTCTTTCTGGATTCTTCATCAGTCAACGCCTAGAGAAAGCAAACTTTATACAACGAGAACTTGGAGAGATGAAGACGCTCCACACCTGATAGGCTTTGGACAGTTTCATGAATTCCTTTTCATTGCCTGTGTCCTTATCAGGGTGAAGAATTAGCGACAATTTCCTATAGGCCTTTTTGATTTCGGACTGGCTGGCACCGGTGGAAATTCCCAGGATTTCATACGGATCAAAATTGGCCATTTCATAATCAAACTGCGACACTTTATACGCTAAGAATATCAAAGTTAGCCAGCCACCCACTATCACCAGCTTGATTAGGAAATGTTTGATTCCTCTCCAGGGTTCTGCGTTCTTCAAGTGCTCCCTTTTCTGGAGACATGGTTGACAATGACACAGTTTTTTCTCTTCGTCGGGATCTGCAAAAAAATCAGTTTTCATACAAAACTAGCGGTTTTAATGAGGCAAATATTGCACAGTGGTGTTTACATACTGCGTTTCTGTTTCCTGGGCCAATAAAACAGCGTGACTGGGCCGAGAATCAGAGCCCAAAATGACAATAGAAAATAGAAAAACGTTCCGCCGCTTTCATCATATTGGAACTTTTGGCCCATTTCTTACTATTTTCAATAAAAGGCCCCAATTCAAGATCAACGTGTCATTAATAAAAATTGTTGTCAATGCCAACAAGATGAAATTCATGTGACGTCAGAATATTTAAAAGATCCGTGTTGCAAAAGTACGTGACGATGGACAGTATTCTTACTTGTTCTTCACGGGTTTTGAGGCGTCTAATTTCATGACAAAAAAATATTTTAAAACTAAGCAATTTAATTAAAAGAATTGAAACCGTCTATATAAATTAACTTGGCAATAATTAAAATAATCCAAATGCACACAAACTTTCGGTTTTTTAAATAAAGCCTTATGTTCCGTCTGAACGACGCCTGGCAACTCCGCGTTCAAATGCCATTAGTCAGTTTCACGTCAGTTTCAGTTTGTTGGACGCATGTTGACATTAGTGTTTTGGAAAAACACTGAAAAATACTTGCTCGAGTAAAATTTAAATAAACAGCAATGGCAGATGTATCCCTTGAGGCCCCAGATTTCTCCAAGTTAAAAGTAAGTTTTGCCTCACACACCCGTTTTCGCAGGTTATGTTAGCCGCAAGCTGCACATTTTAAGACTTTGAATCTGTTTTCAGGTACCTGATTTGAAAAAGGAGCTCAAAAGCAAGGGCCTGAGCACCACAGGTAATAAAACCGAACTGATCCAGCGACTGCAGTCATCCCTCAAGTCCCCCAAAGCCGGTCTTTCTGATTCCATCATCGATGACATCGAGGAAGATCTTCTAAATGTGTGTAAATCATCAGCTTGTTATTGCATGTTTTGAAAGAAGGTTTCATTTCAGGACGAAGGCGACGATGATGAGCATATTGACGACAGAGCGATCAACTTAATCAATGAACTTGATCATGACCTGGATGATCTACCAAAAAGCTTGAAAAGGAAAGCGGAATCTGAAAGCGAGCTAATAGTGGGCCCCCCGAAAAAAATCATCCTAAAGAGAAATACCAGTGAAACTGTAGCAGCTGTGGTAAAACCGGAGGTGAAAAGCGCAGACACTACAACCATCGAAAAACATGAGGTTAAAAGTGAACTGATTGGCGACAGGAAAGTTATCAAGCTAACTGAGCTTTCCATTAAAGAGGTGTGATAGTTGTATTCCTTAATTCAAAATATTGCTAAACTCCGAATTAAATAACATTCTAGAGGTTGGAAATGAGGGCCAAAAAGTTTGGAGTCACATCTTTGACTGACGAGACAAAGAAGCTGGCCAGAGCGGAAAGATTTGGGTCTACGACAACAACATCCAATAGCTCAGCCAGCATTAAGTTAAATGTAAAAGCTCTCCATCCCCACATCTTCCCTGATCTAATGTTGACTTATGTTCCAGACTCCTAACACAAGTATTGATGTACTGAAGCAAAGAGCAGCGAGATTTGGAGGATCCGTGTCCAATGTTATGTCCAATTTGGAAAACCAGGAGAAAAAAGAAAAGCGGAAAGAACGTTTCGGCGGAACAACATCCAGTGTAAAATCACCTGTGGAAATTGACCTGGCTAAAGCAGCAAGATTGGAAAGGTTTAAAACCACTGTTAAGTAAGAGCATTGACCATGTTTTTCTACCGATCACTTTAAATATTTCAAGGATAAAATGTGTTAGTTTGTAAGAAGCTTATTGAATTTTGTGTTTCCATCTTCTAATTGCTTAGGTGTGTGTATTAATAGAGTTTTTTTTTATTAATAAGGCATTTGAGCTTTTCGTTTTCTTTGCGGCCTAAGGCCATAAATAACCAATGTTTACTTACGTGCAGAAATGTAAATTCAAGTGTCCATTTATTAGGCAGTAGTTTCTTGTTGTGTGAATTAAATTATGTCAATGGATATTCTGGTAAGGAACGGTAGTTGTGGGCTTTTTAGGGATACATCAAGTAAAAACTGAATAGTTGAGGAACGGAGTTTTGGCTGACCATGCAATAATCCTTATGATCTAGTGGAGGAAGTTAATGTTGACACTTTGTAATACTCGTGTTTCATCCCGCCAAAGGAGTGGTTTAGAGTTTAAAATTTATAAACATTTATGTCGCGAAAACCTTTATTATTCCTTACCTGTCGACAAAAATTATGTACAAAATTTGCAGCATGGTCAATTAATGCGACTTTTTATATCTGGCTAATGGTCTGAACTTGGATCCTTTGATTATCTGCGGTTCTAAAATCGAACACAATTAGGTTTCTTCATGAGGAATCGTGAAAAGGCCCTACATGATTTCAGCCACTTGCATCGCTTCCAGATTTTCTAAATCCTCCCCTTTAATTTGAATGGTCGTAGCCTGTATGGCGTGCACCTCCAAGATGTGCGAGTTGAAGGCTGTATCCTCGTTGAAGTTTTTATTGCATAGTTTACACGTAAAGAGCACGTTCTGGATGATCTCCTCCTTCTCTTGTGTTTGAACGTGGTGATTCATGTGAACTTTCAGACTACTGGAACTGGAAAATCTGAAAAAATGTTTTAGAATTTTTGCTTTTACTTTTCGGTGACATACTTTTTGCCGCATTTTTCGCAAAAATACGGCTTGCGGCCAGTGTGCGACTTCATATGCCCAGACAATTGTCCCGATGAACTAAACGCCTTATTGCAAGTGACGCAAATATGCGGTTTGTCACCTGTATGAGACCTAAAACGATGTTTTTGATAGACTTGCATCTTCGATTAAATATGTCAATTATCCTCACCGCACATGAATAGTCAGAGTTTCTTGTCGACTAAAATTCTTGCCGCAAATATCGCAGCCGTACGGCTTTTCTCCCGTGTGAATTCGCTGATGTAACGTGAGGGTATTCGAGCCGGAAAAGGCTTTGCCGCAGGTTTGACACACATAAGGGCGCACCCCCGTATGAGTACGCATATGGATCGCCACATATCCAGACTGGCTAAACCTTTAAAAACCCTCACACTTGAGCAATTATTAGATGCATTTTCCAACCAACTAATACCGTTTGTTGCAGACGGTGCATACATAAGGTTTTTCGCCAGTATGCACCCGTATGTGCTTTTCCAAATTGCAGCTTTGCGTGAAGGTCTTTTTGCAGACCTCACATGAATAGGGCCTCTCTCCGGTATGCGATCTTAAGTGGATCTTTAGACTTCTGGCTTCGACGTATTGCTTGGAGCAGAACGTGCAACTGAGCAGTTTGTGTCCAGTATGGTATTTCATGTGCTTATGCAAACTTGAGGCCCACTTGAAACCTCGTCCGCACACTGAGCACAAGTGAGGTTTTCCCTGAAAACGAAAAGGAAAAACTGACTCAAATCCTGGAGGTTTACAGGTGCAAAAGAAGTCGTTAGTAAAATGAGGAAACGCGTCATTTGCCGACAACCTCCAAGCGGTTTAAAACCCTGTATACTCACTTTGATGTTTCGCAATTCGCCCGTATGTTTCTTTTTGTGTTTGCTCAGATTGGAGCTTTCAGCAAAGGACATGTTGCACTGGTCGCACTGATGCGGCTTATGGTCCAGATGGATCTTTTGATGGCGTTTTAAGATGCGCAGTTCCGCAAAGGCTTTATTACATATTTCGCAAACGAAATCCAAGTCCTTGGGGTGCGTCATCATGTGCACCTGCAATTTACCGGGTTTGTTTAGCCAGCAGTCAGTGGAACATGGAACTGGCAGTACCTTAAAATCCACTCTGAGTGCGAACTGGGCAAAGCATTTGGCGCATTTGTATTTGGGCGGTTTGATTTCAGTAGCTTTATCAACATTGTCCAGTTGATTTGAAGTCATTTCATGCAGGGTATTAATGTCGATCTTGTATTTCAGTTCATCGCCTGGGGAATAACTTAAAGGGTCGTCGATGGAATCAGTAGACTCCATTGTTTCCACCACCGTGTAAAATTCATCTGAAAGCTTCAATAGACGTGAATATTAACTCATTGGTGGCTAACAACCACTGTCAACTTACCTCTGCCTTATGTATTATCTGTTGGGATGTTATCACGGTTTCAAACGACGTCGCCGAATTTCCAACTTTCTTCTCTTCGATAATAATGGGCAAAGGAGACTGCGAGCGGAATTTCAGCTGTTCTTCCAGCTCTTTCTTCGCTTGTTCTCGGGACTTCTCCTGATCCTGGTAGCGCTTGAGCATATCCTATATACAGGGCAATAGTGAATTAACGCGTTTGAAAAGTGTAAAATATCCAACCTACTTGGAAATCCTTTGAAACGTATTGTTTGAGAATCTTGTCCGATTTTTCGCAAAGTTGTTTGAACGTGTAGGCTCGACTGCACTGCAACACGCATTGGACGCACATGAGTTTTGGGAACTCGTCGTTCGCTGTTGCCTGCAAATGCGGGTAAACGAATGCAATATGAATCGATTGTGTAAGTAGGAAATTTATAAAATGGGACAAACAACATTGGAACGAAATAAAAAAGGGTGAAACTCGGTATGTGTGTAAAGTTTCACAGTTGAACTTATCCAAAAACCGGTCAACTTCACTTTATAACCTCATTTCACAGCATTGGTTTTCATTAAAAGAATGAAAGCCATTGCTAGGTCGCAAAAAACACTAATTTTCAAGATCGTCTGGATAATCGCAGTTCGTTCTTCTCCAAACTTAAAATGTTTTTAATGGTTATTTACGCGTCTCTTCGTCAATTTCTCTTTTACACACTACGAAAAATCAATTTTATGTATTGTAAAAAACGCTAAACCGTGCATTCGAAGCGTGCCAAGCTATTTCGTCTTATTCGAGACGCGATATTAAAATTTACTTATGTCCGAGACCGGCTCGAAAGACTTCAGCTAGAGCGTTTTTTCCCGGTGGTTTGAAAATATTAATTTTTGCTGAATCAGATATTGAAATAGCACGGCTTTGAAGAAGTTTGAAAAACTCCTTAATTTCTACTGTTGATAAATTAAAGATGCGTCATTCGTATTGCTTGATGTGAATTTCAAATTTAAACCTCTTAATTTCCTCAGCAAGAAAAATCACCGGGTATACACATAGCAAAAGCAAATTGGTGCAGACGACATTCAAAAATAGCGTTGGAGTTGGTGGTCTTTTGACCATGTCCTGACGTTAATCAAGTAACCCACTTGCCGATCGACTTCCGTCACTCTCTTATTCATGGTATTCGACATTTCCGAGAAAAGGGCACGGAGTCCGAACGATTGCGATTATTACCTGGACACCGGTGAAGCTCTGAAACATTTCATCGAGACAGGCACCGAAAAGGGGCCTCATGTCGCCCTTTTCGACCAAGCAAGCCCTGCAGACCTTATCGATTTGCAGGGGATTCGTCAAGTAGGCGGTCATATCCATTTTGAAACCCCAATAAAACGTCTGTCGTGATGCACTTTTAGGCGACGAACGTACGTCGTCGAACGACACAAAACAATATGGCGACGCGACAGTCGCGAACTATGTTGGTCTTTGCCAGCAACCAATCGAGTCGCAATAACGTACCTCGTGACTTGGTTATGCGCCTTTCAAATCTACATATTAATCCTTATTTGAAACATTTCATTTAATAGCAGTTTGAATGAGAATTCTCACTAAAAAGCTACGAAATTAGCTGATTTTCAGTTGCGCAGCTCAACTAGTCACTGCAAATAAACCCAATTTTCTCAGCTTCAAAAACTGAAGAAAAGTCCGTGACTGGTAAGTTGGGTTGCCTGAACACAAGGGCAGCTGTCACAGCAGCCACCATTAACCACAGTTTTTTAAACCGGTGTCTTTTTAACAGTTAATTTCAACCAAATAATTCGAAAATGAGGAACTTGCAAGACTTTGATGCTCCGAGCAATGGCGAAATTTCAGTCTGCGAATTAAATGGTAAAGCCCACTCTACAGCCATTGGATTTGCCAATCTATCTTCTTTCACTAGTTGTGTAAGTAGTCAACTCACGACTAAGCCCCATTCTGTTCAAAGTGCAGCTTTCAGATTGAAAGCCACCCACAAGTTCACATCACCAGAGACCAGCTCTACTCTACAACGTCAAGTGACGAGGGCAAAGCCCTATTCTTGCCTGTCGATGTCTCCTTTTTGAAACAGCTCACTCAAGTCTACTACGAGCAGGGCACTATCGAGGCCCTATATCTTGCAAAGTCTCATAAGCAGGTGCTGGTCTCGCACATAGCAAATGGGCTCCTCACTGCCATCAGATACATAGAGAAAGTCAGACTGATTATGAATCCCAATGTACGGTATAGTGGGCCTGCCTTAATATGCAAGTTGGGAACAACTAGAGACTGGCAAAACAGCACCATCCGCTCCATTGCTTGGCACCCATACGGCAGGAAATTGGCCGTGGTCACTTGCGATGATAGTGTGCGGATTTTTTGCAGCGAAAGCAGCTACAGTCCGTTGCTCAGGTGCAAACAACAGAGAAATATTACTTGTGCGGCTTGGAGGCCAATGTCTGCCACTGAAATTGCTGTCGGACATGAAAATGGCATTATTGTATGGAGTATTGATGCTAATTCTTTGGTAAGTTCCCCGACGGTTATTATATTGAGACTTACCTGGTTTGCAGCACTTCTTCATTTCAATTTAACTTTCTTACTAGCTTTAACTTTTTTCTGGACAAAAATTGCAGCTGCCTTCTGAACATGCTGTGGTTTTTGTGTCCTGAGTTTTTCATGTAGGTGAATTGGCGGCATTCTCCATATTGTCATCTTTGGCTTACAATTTCTTGATCATTTGGAGGCTAATTTTCGGCAGGCAATTCTCCAAAAATATTTATGATTCAAAGCAGATTCACAACGGATGAAAAAAAATTAAGAGTTTGATGGGGATTTGCCCCCTTGAAGGCGCCTGATCGTTTAAAAACTGTATATCCAGTTCTTTGGCGCGTCTTTTCCAGTCGCCCCCTTTACGTTTTTACCGCCTGCTATGCTTTCATTGTGGCGAGATAAAAGCCATAGTGAATCTGGTTATTTCTAGGTGTCCAGACCATCCGTAAGCAACGCGATTATTCTTCATAGATTGGAACATAAGCCCGTGATGAGCATCGCCTGGTCCCCTAAAGGCGATATGTTGATCAGCGCCGCTGCTTGCGATAGTGCAATTTTGGTGTGGAATCCCGAATTAGATCGCACTAGCTCCCTGAAAAGGCCTGGAGGATGCGGGCATGTTCTAGTAAAATGGTCTCCTACCGGCGATAAAATCTTCACTTGTTCAGATGGATTGGTCTTTAGGCAAGCCATTAACTAACTGTCCCAAAATTCAAAACTGCGGGGTTTCAGGTTGTGACGCTGTCGTCTGTTTTTCGGCCTAACAATCCGAAAGCCCGCAATTCTTCAGATAATGTCCGTGAAAGCCTTAACTATCTATGTATTAACCGCTGATGTTTTTAGAGTTTGGGACCATCGCACTTGGGAGTGCGACAGATGGACAGTTGCAAGCGGAAGAGTTCAGTCGGCATGTTGGGCCAATTGCGGTCATACCGTTCTCTTTGCAACCAGCACCGATCCAGTAATATATGGACTTATTGTGAAGCGTGATGTGATTTTTGCCAGTGATGTTGGTGCGTGATTTTCACCTTGCTTGATTTTCACAGTTTGTTGCACCTTTTTTCTCTTGAAGAGTCTTCCTCCATTGAAGCCATACCATTGTTCGATGTCAGTAAAACCGATCTATTCGACCTGACCGTCGGAGGATTAGTTCAGAGCATGGAAGCCGACCCAGCCGGAAGTCATTTGGCTGTTGTTTTTCAGGATACCAGCGCTGTTACAGTTTTCACTATTGCTAGGCAGAGCGCTTTGCAGCTGATACCCAGGTGAGTTTCTGATTAACACACTAAACCTGGAACTGGTGGGTTATTGGCCAGGAAGAAATTCCTTGTGTCGACGGCTTAAAAGCCGGAATAACTCATCAGTTTGAAGGAGTAGGCGCGAAAGTTGATACAAAAACTAAATCATTTGTGGTGGTTTCGGGTGTTTTCAACTGTTGTATAATTGCAGTTCGATAGTCACCGGATTAGCGGAAGAAAAGCCTACTGCTATAACCTTCCAGCAGGACTTGAAATCGGGGGCTTGCTTGACTGTTGGATGGTCCAGCGGGCGGATCCAGTACTACCCAATAATCTACTCGGACCTCGCTAAACAGCCAGCCAAAATCTCCATGTTTGGATCCATCATCAACTAGCAATAGTTTCATTGTGCTTCATCTCGATTGTTTTAATTATTAAATTTTTGCATTTTTGTGCTGTCCTTACTAAGCGCATACCTCCACCACTGAACGGGACGCCAAAGAAGAGCGACTAAACTTTGGCATCGCTTCAGTTTCAGTTTCAGCGCCGAGCCACGTAAAGCTGAAAGCGGAAATCCGGGGAAAACTCACGCACTTCCTTAAAAGTTGCCAAAGTTTTTACGAAGCGAATACATAAGCACGGTGAATTAAATGAGACACTCAATGGATGTATTAGCCGAGCGTATAGTTTCCGAATTGTTTGCTTAGAATTTGTGCGACGTAGTAAACATCAGGTTTGTTAGATCATTTGGTCGGCAGGTGGGTAATAATCGTGTTGTTTAAATAATTCGTTTGTATTTGCCCGGGGGGTAAACTTAAGAGGCGGAAGTGCCCCGAATTCCCTACAGTATTTGCGAAAAGGTTTAATTTTTTTCACAAAAATTTGCTTAAAGTCCATGCGTTCATGACCAAGAAAAGATTTCAGGAGAGCAAATATAAACAGGGCGGCGCCAAAAGTTGGTCGCGTTCAAGCTGCAAGGCAACAAATTGCGAACTTTTACAATTTTTAACCTCCTGAGAGACTTTCATGTGTTGCATATTTAATTTTTAAACTATCGCATGATTGAAAATTGCTGTTTTCAATGGGGGTTTGTTCAGATGGTAATCTCATACTGGATCAGTACTTGCAATTATAAAAAAAATACGAGTAGGACAAATCGTATGATTAAATCCGAGTCTCGCCCGGCTTCCGATCATCTTCTATCATTTTTCTCAAAAACGTTGCCTTTAAGGAAAAATACTCAGTAGCCTATTTTTTTCCGGTCTCCGGTCTCCAACCGGCTATTATTTATGGAAAAGTACAAATTCCCTTTATAGGTCAGTATTAATTAAATCTCTGGATTTTCTCGTCGAATTTACAAATCACCCTATACGTACATATTTGGGCAAAATTTCGCAGCGTAACGACTTTATTAATTTTTTCCGCCTACATGAAGCCTAATTGTTTAGTCAAGTAGAAACAAGTGCGTTATATTAAGCGAACGTACACACTTAAAAATGACATTGATTTAGGGAAGTGATTAAGTTTCCAATTAATTGATGGCTATTAAAAATAAACATATAAACAAGGCAAGCTATCGACAGTCCATTATAGAATCAATACTTACTAGACAATGGAACAAGATGGGAAATTTGAAACGTCGCTTTTGAAAACTCTACTGGTAAAACCAGCAAAGTATGAAATAAAGCGACGGTTTTATGTCAAGTTTCGTGAAAAAGCAACAGGTTTGATTTAGATAAAAACCAAAGTAGAAGTTAATCGACGGTTCTTGCGGGAAAAGGAAATGAGATTGGCCCTGAGAGTGTTTGTTTGACACTGATGATTTTTTTCCCGGGCGATGTTCGATGGATGTAGAAAAAAAAACGTTACATTAATTTCGTTTTAAAAGTGACGAAAGAAAGATTCGGCCTGATGGGGTAAGGACATTCAATTTTATAGAAAAATATTAGAAAACATTAAACGTAGTAATAGAAACACCTTGTCTCACCCAGTATAAAACCTGGATTGGAAATGAAATTTTCCAAAAATGCACAAAATACCTTTTTTCAATTTCCTGGTTTTCCCATTTTGGGCAAATTTTCACTTGGCACGACTTCAAGTTCCGAAACAACCAATTCTCTGAAAATGAGTGAAAAAATAATTGAAAATCGGCCGCTATCAGGTTTCAGACCAAAACTCAAATTTCTCTTATAGAATGTATGCTATTTGCGCTGAACACGTAAAAGCAAAAGCCAAACTTCTCCAATAAGTATTCCATCAATAATCCAAAGTAAGTATGCATTGTATTTTTGATGTGATATATTCAAATTGCCGTCGAAGAAAACATAAAAAGGCAAAAAGCACCAGGAAAATAGGAGTTTTCGAGCGAAAATTCCGCAGGAAGTCTGAGAAAAATATACGGTCCTAATGGTGTAACCGTTTATATTGGATGGTACCAATCAATTCGCTATCGGAAGCCTTTTTATTGATACATCCCAAGCAAAATTAAGTACGTGGTAATTTGGCCTTTTATCATGCTTGTTTTCCTGTGATCTATTACGTGTAGATAATTTTAGCAAAGTGAGAGTGTGTAATGAACATCGATCGAGTGTTATCTCTAAAGGCAAAGCAAATAGAATAGAGGCGCACTAATTTCCACATTCTGAGCAACTATTTTTATTTCCGCTTGCAATAATTACAGAAGCCGCACAATAGACATAGAATCTTCCTACTGTGCTTGTTTTCGTTACAGGTTGCGTCTTCATTATCATGTTTTTACTTTGGTTTTAACAGTTTTTAACGATCTGATGGAAGCAGAAAGAAAACGTATGCGACTGCACCGAAGTGTTGCATTTAATGTGTGTCATATTATGACAAATTGTGGAAAAACAAATTGGCAATTTTCAAAATGCATTTAACAATCTTTATTTCAGTAATAAATGGGTCCACTACTGAGATAGATATATTCAATTACTTAGACAAACCGTTAAGAAACAATAATTAAAGCTTCCAATAAAATTGCTTTACTGAAAACCCAGTTTTCTATATTAAATGTAAGGTAAATAACTATTTTGCTGCCTTTTTGGTAGTTTTTTTGTAGTGTATTTTACGATATACCCATAAATATTCACTTCACCCTGCTTAAATTAAATTTTTGCATCCTTAAAATTTTGCCGGGTTTTTGCTGTCATGAATGGGCAAATGCGGCTCGCGTTGTAAATAAGTAGGCAAAATCTGAATTCCTCTGTGTAAAATAAGTCGAATACAACTTTTATCGGAAACTTACGTTCTCGTCCCTCCTGTGTGCTTCTTACTTTGTTTTTGCTTGACTCGAAATGCGGTGCTGATGAAGAATGTTAAAACGGGATTTAATCCAATTACAGATTTTCCTGGCGCGAGGAAAAGAGTTTGAATCAGGTTTATATCCTGTTTTCTTCGATTTATTCCGCTTTTTAACTTGACGTTTTATTTTTAACAAACCTTTCACTTGTATCGACCCGTTACCAGGGAAACCAAATCAGGAGCGGGTTCATAAACAACAGTGCGGGTAGACTGTCACCCTGACGCGCCTGACAGATTCATTGGTGAATGTCCAACCGGTATCACTTTGTTTATGGGCGATTATTTAGTCGCTCGTTCTCACATACAGGAAAGTCTCCCTCCTTCCTTGTCTAGGGCGGTTTTTATGATGAAAGCTCTAATCACGCATATTCGAGCGTTGATTATGAACACGCTCCTGGAGAGCCTGAATTGTTGCGAAAACATTCAAATTTTTCCCGGCAATTTACATTGCTTTTGCTCCAGCTAATTATTTGCTCAAAAATTGCCGCAACTACAAAAGAAAACCTTCTCTGAAAATCTGTTGAGAAATCAGGACACAATGCCATTAAAAAGTTTTTCTAAGGTCAATAAAATTTAATTCCTTCCTAAAGAACTGGAGCTAAATAGAAGAGTTGAAGATTTTTGGTTTCTTACTAAAAAAGTACATTTATATGAAGCTTGTAAAGATTATGATTTTGGCTGCGGCTAAAATCTCAAAAAACTTTCTGGTGCTTGTTCCAATTCTACGGTTGTTAGATAAATGCTAAGCTCTCGAAGTGATTTCCTCCAATTTGAATGATGCGAACTTTCAGAATAACTCAACATGTTTTCTGATTTTGAGACTTTGATTTTTTTGATTTTGAGATTTTGAGACGAACTCTTTCCCAAGTCATTCTACTGAAAAGTTGAACGATTCCAACACTCACAAAGTGTTAGATATGAAAACGGCATCGTCTAAGTTTCTTTTTGGATTCTAAATGATTGTGAATAACTGTTACTCTATAGGGGAGGAAAAGTGCACGTTTTAGGATAATTCTTCTGCTTTCCTTAGATCTATTTATATATGTATGTGTCAAGTAGGAGAGGGTGCCGAAAATTGGCCGTGTGATCTATCGAATGTAAAAAATTCCCCCTGGACCTAAAAGGCTGATCTCTATATTTAGCAGCACATTTTTGCATCCGTTTTTGGGTTATAAGCGGGTTTTAATATAGGTGCGCGTAGGCGGACGATTAGAATTTTATTATGGCATTTTTATGATAAAAAGCACGGCGCAAATCGGCTTTTATCGGGCCTTTGTGCAACAAAAATCGTTTAATTTACTGTTTGACGAAATTTCCTCGGATTGACATTTGAGATTTTATATTTTCTATTGTTCAATTGAATTCTAGTTAAAAAAATCATAAACTGACATTTTAATGATTTAGAAAACGTTTCTATTGCCTGCTACTTCGGCCTTCAGATGAAACCTCCCGGACAGCAACAGGTTTTTATCCTAATTTTCCAAATTTAATAAACCAAGCAAACGTTGTTTTGTCCTGATATACAGCCAGGAGAAAATTCGTTCAACCTTGTTCCTTTATTAAATGTACACTTAGCTGGACGCGCGAAAGTCACGTCCCGGGACAGTGTCGTAACCGGCCTAACTCCCCTAATTAACCTTATCAGAAAAATATGGAACAGTGCGCTCTGTCCTAACTCGGTTTCCCTTTATACCCCAATAATTTGGTTAATGATGGCGAACTGACCTATGAAAGCTCACAGGGCCATAGTTTTAATAGAGTTGTCGCTGTTGTGCAAAATATTCAACAAAATTATACAAAGTGAATACAAATTTATCGTTCAAACTATCGTGGATTTGCGGGTTGGGTCACACAAATATGGCAATATTGAATTTGACAATATTTCAAAAATTGAACACTTCTGGAATGGACAATCTTACACAAACTTACCCTTATTTTTAATTATAATTAATACCAAATTATTATAATTGCCGGTTTCAATCTTGAAACTAAATTTTCGAACACTGTGGATCAATATTTATCAAAATATTATCAAAGTTCTATCCAAGTCTTTATCACCAAGGAATGCAACTCAAATTAAATAACACATACTTTTTTAGAGAAAAAAATATTATTATTCAATTGCCGGCAACTGTAATTTTTACATAAAATTTCCGACATATCAAAAACGATTAGACTTAAGTTCCTATACGATATTATTCATGAAACATATTTAGAATGTCGAGTAGAATTCAAAAATGTAATACTATAGAGGGTGTTCCTTTTAAAATAACCAAGTTGCTACCCACGTCCGGTACAACCGGAAGCGTCGCCATCTTGACAAAAGTTTAGATCGCTTGCCCCTAATAACTCTCTTCTCCTGTGAAATTTTCAAATTTCTCCTAGTTTTAGTTAGCCGTATATCGATCGCGGTGTTTTCCGTTGGAACAGTCGGTTTTGGCGTATAACCGGCGAAATATGGCTTATAGGCCTGTCGTTTGCCACGCTCTTTAGCCGTTTGGGCCTACTATGAGGTATAATCCATGGATTTTTTCAATGACAATGTCGCAAGAAAAGCCTTTCTTTAGGAGCAAAATTCTTAGTTCATCTAGTTAAGTTAATCTACACGAAATAGAACCCTTTAGGGTGATTTTTTTTCGGGGGCTTTTTTGTCTGATGCATTTTAATCGTGGCTGTACCTGATTTAATTTTTTTAAATTGTAGTGTTCTTTCAGCGACTTTTCCATTTACTCGACAACCGTTACAGCTACGCTTAAAACGCCAAAGGCAACAAAGTTTCCACATTGAACGAGGAATTCAACTAACTTGGTCGGTAGTATTGGGAAACATTTTCAATCAATTACCTCCAAAACGCTCAGAGATGTGTGGGGGAAATATCCATCCATTCAGTCGTAACAACGTTAATGAGGAAATTCGAGTAGTTTTGTCCCAGAAAGCGAAATTTGAATATCAGACACTTAGGTGCAAGATTATGCCAA